TCCCTTTCCAGCAAGAAAACTCCCCTCAAATAGTTAAAACAGTCAGTGACGTGCTCAGCTGAATGAGGAGCCCTGCAAGGATATCTGTCAACAGACGCAGAAGGCTCTCACCACTGCAGCTGAAGGTCCCATTAGCAACCAAATCATTGTTTCCCTGGTAATCTGCTATTGCTTTCCACTTATCAACGCTTAATCCCCTTTTAAACAAATTGCTGTAGCAGTACTGGCTGATTCAGCGAACAGGGTCAGCCCAAGTTGGGTGCAGCAGGCTCTTAGCAATGAGATAGGGCGTATTTAATGTGAAGCTGCTCCTACCTCTGCCGGTGTTGAGGGGGCTGTACCAGTGCCTTCCTACCTCTGCCGGTGTTGAGGGGGCTGTGCCCGTGGTGCAGGTCCCATTCTCCCTGTGGAATGTTTGTGTTCAAAGCGGGGCCAGAGAAACGGTTGCCCCTCGGGCCCTTCTGTTCCAGCCCCAAGAGCAGCTCCCCTCTGGCTTCCCACCCTGTGCCAGGGCTTTCCTGGTGCTGCTTTGCTCCCTTGCAGTTGGACGGCAGGCTGGCTGGCCCCCGGCATGTCCTACCTCCCTGGCGGACAGGTAGCCGAGGAAGAGCTACGAAAAGACACGTTGGATGAAGGGAGCAGCAGGCTTGAGCCTGGCTGCAAGCTGGGTGGGGAGAAGAGGGCAGACCCCGAGGGATGGTGTCCTGGTGGTGAGAAAGGATCTTTGCTGCTGAGTTAAAGGCAGGTTTTCTGATGCCTCATCATCCACACTTTCCTCTCTTTCCTCCAGCCTGGGAGGCAGTGACCATGGCTCCAAGCCAGACACAGCCAAGGTGCACCCCGATGGGCAGAGGGGTTCTCCTCCTTGGACTGGGCCTCTCCTTCCTGCTCTGGGGGCTCCTGCTGCTCTGCGCAGACTGTAGCCCCCAGCCCTCTTGGGCCTACGAGATAGTCATTCCAAGGAAACTTGGCCGCAAGGCAGGGAAAGCCAGCCAGGATGAAGTGTTCTATATCATCAGCATTCAGGGGGTAAATTACACGATTCACCTCAGGCAGAAAGACGTCGTAATAAAAAATTTCCCTGTATTCACTCGTGACTCCCGAGGGGAAATCGTGGTCCAACAGCCCCACGTGCCAGCAGATTGCTATTACCATGGCTACGTGGAAGGCATCCCGGACTCTGCGGTGACTCTGACTACCTGCTCTGGGCTCAGAGGACTGCTGCAGATTGGAAACTCGAGCTACAGCATCGAGCCCCTGGCAGCTTCTACCGTGGCTGAGCATCTTCTGTTGCAGAGAGAGGAGGCAGTTCCTGGAACAGTGATGTACAAAATGCCCAGTGAAGGTGGACAATTTCCAGGTCCTGGTACAGCAACAGGGCAGTTCCAGCCCCGGAGGCACACGCGGTATTTGGAGCTCCTTGTCGTGGTGGACAAGGAAGGGTTTGATGCCTTTGGCAGAAGTATAACTAATGTGACACTGGAAGTTATTGAAATAATCAATCTGGTGGATGGGCTGTTTTATTCTTTCCGCCTTCGTGTTTTGATAACTGCACTAGAGGTTTGGGTGGAGAAGAACCCTATCAGTGTTACCAAAAACATAACCAAGGTCCTTCATAATTTTAATCTTTGGCGGAAGCAGCAAAGCCTTACGTACGCCGTGCATGACGTGGGGTGTCTATTTGCCTCGATGGACTTTGATCGCGGTATGAGAGCATTGCATGCAGGCGGCAAATCCAACTTTGCCAGTGCATGTGATAGAAAACACGCCTCTGCTGTTGTATCGTTTGCAAAACAGCCTTACATGGACACTGCTGTCCATGTCGCTCGTGCGTTAGGGCATGTCCTTGGCATGGAGCACGATGACAGATACTGCAGATGTGGAAACACCTCTAAATGCATCATGAGCACTCACGGCACAGTGAACTATCAATTCAGCAACTGCAGCAAAAAGCACTATTTTGATTTTATAGCATCAGGGCAAGGATTCTGCCTTAATAACGCCCCAGAATCAGTAATGACATTTGCAGTGCAGCGCTGTGGGAATGGTGTTCTGGAGGTTGGGGAAGAGTGCGACTGTGGCTCAGAAGCACAGTGTAAATTGGACCTTTGTTGTGACAATACCTGTCAAAAAAAAAAAGGAGCCATTTGCACTTCTGGAGGCTGCTGTAAGAATTGCAAACCTCTTCCAGAAGGAGAAGTGTGTAGGGAGAATACCAGTCTGTGTGATCTGCCTGAGTACTGCAACGGGACATCTGAGCATTGCCCAGCAGATGTGGCCAAGCAAGATGGGACTGTGTGCGCTGAGGATGGGTACTGTTATTCAGGCAAATGCCAATCTCGCGCATTACAGTGTATGAGTATCTTTGGCAAGAAAGCAAAGCCTGCTCCACTACCATGTTTCCAGGAGGTGAACATGAAAGGGGATCGGTTTGGCAATTGCTGGGGAGATGGGGCAGATGTCAACTTTCAGAAATGTAAGCTAGAAAATGTCCTGTGTGGGAGGGTGCAGTGTACAAATGTTAGACGTCTACCTCAGCTGGAAGATCACACAACCATCATTCAAACCCCGGTGGGCGATACCTGGTGCTGGGGCACAGACTACCACCTGGGCGTGGACATTCTGGATGCTGGAGTCATTAAGGATGGCATGCAGTGCGGTGAGAAGAAGATCTGCATTAATCGGACGTGTGTCCCTGAGGAGAAGTACTTGACATCCCGCTGTTCTGCCACGAGAACATGCAGAGGAAAAGGCATCTGCAACACTAGAGGAAACTGCCACTGTGACAACGGCTGGGCACCTCCCTACTGCCAATTTATTGGCTTTGGAGGAAGCATTGACAGTGGGCCTACACCGGTCACTAAAAAGGGGCTTTTTAGGTTCATCATCGGGATTACCGTAATAACTGTTGCTGTTCTGGCGCTCGCAGCACTTGTCATTGTGCACGTGAGAAAGCTCAGAGTAACCCAAGCATTGAACAGACTTGTTGGATGCCTTTGGTCTAGACAACAGGCTCCTGAGGAGGATGCGAAGGACCAGGTGGAAGAAGATGGCTCAAAACCAGCTGAGGGTCAAAACTCCCCTGTGTAGGGCTTCACGTGGAAAGCTGGATAAGCTGGACTCAGTCAGTCACTAGGTTCAGACTCCAGCTGCAGTGAACTCATTTAAAATTGATCTAGATGCAAGTGTAGAGTTAGGGGACCTAGTTTTTATTCCGTAGAATAGCAGAATTAAATTGTTTTGCTTGACCTCACTCCGTAGGAGAAAAAAAGTCATTGACAAAAATGACAGGGGCGCTCGGGTTAATTTAAAATCTGCCTGCTGGTTTACACTGACAGACACAGGCTGAGCAAGGAGGATCCCGGGGTGGCTGAGGCAGAGCCTTTTGCAAGGCAAGAGCAGCGCTCATCTCTCAGCCCAGAGCATGGGGGTCTGCAGCAGCGAGTCCCCCGCTCCACTAATCCCACAGTCCCCAAAGGACACCTGCTCTTCCCTCCGAGCAAAGAAACTTCTGGGTCACAGACCCTCCACTACAGCTCAGAGGAAGGGGTTCAAACTGTCCACACCACTGTATAGGACTGTCTCCACACCCTATAGCCACCTCCTCTGGAACCAGGGTCCCAGGTGGCGTGCCCACCTCCGAGCCCGTCCTGGGCATACCTGAGCACCTCTGTGGCACTGCAGCCTAGGAACAAACACGAGCTGCTGAAAATATCAGGGGGTGTTAAGCAGGAGACAGGAGGAGGGAAGAAAGGACTCTGAGGCTTGATTACAGGAGAAAAAGATGTGGAAAGAAGAGGGGAAAAAAAAATTCATTACTGCTCACGCCAGTGGCCTCTGTGAAAACTACAAAGCTGGCAGGATCATTTCGACAGGAGCTTGCAGGAAGGCTTTGAGCAGGTAAAGAAACCGTCGGCAGCATCCGATCCCCGCCAGGCTGAGCTGACAAAAAACCCAGGCTGCTGCGGAGGTGTCTGCAAGCTGGGAGCAGCGGGTGCAGGAGCAGCTCTGAAGCAGAACAGGGATGGTGCAAAAAAAGAAAACTTCAGCACTTCCCGAAGAAGCAGATGAATGCTGGGGAGCAGGAGTGCTTCGTGCTGGAAGAGGGAATTTACCCCACTGGAATGGGCTATTGCTCACCTCCAGGTAGACCTGGTTAATGATAAATTGAGAGCTGCAGACGTTGCTGCCTGCCGGTGCTCACGTGTACCTATGAAATGTGTTTTTCTGTTTATAACAAGCCGTGCCTGACACCCAGCAGGCACAGGCCAGGCGTGCAGGGGTAACCACCGACCCATGAATGCCCTGTGGGTGGTGTTTGCAGCAGGAGTCTCCAAAGAAAATATTAGAACTTCAGTATACAGGCATATAATTTAGAAATAACTAACTATACATATATTGGGGGTGCACAGTCAGGAAATTTTTATTGATAGGGGTGTGTGATTAAGAAAAATGTCTGGAGCCCGCTGGGTTACAGACTGGTGAAGGAGGTGAGGCAGTGGCCAAGGGGCATCAACATTTGTAAAGTTAATTTGCTGTGGGGAGCGTTATTGTGGTTAATTCTCAAATTCACGATCCACAGGCAATCTTTGGGCAGGGGTCTCCCCTTGGGGAGGAGGAGGAGGAGGGGGTGGTGAGGATGCATGGCTCCCCAAATCTCTCTGTGTGGCTGTGAAGATCAACCGCAGCTCCCTGGCCGTGACGGCCACCCCACAGTGCCCCGGTGAGGGAAGCACAGCGGGGATAGGTGCCCTTCATCCCTGTCACCCCACAGGAGTACCCATGGCCCCCGTGCCACAGCCTCGCTCCACCCGGCCCCGTGTCACAGCCGGCAGGCAGGGGCAGCAGTGCTTCCAGAACCTTCTCAAGGGGCACTGAGGGGAACAGCCGCACCTCGGGGCAGCAGGGTGGCACACACCTTTGCTGGGTCCTGTGCCAGCCCTGAGGGGACAGCTCCAGCACGGCCACCGCCTGAGCGCCTCAAGGGAGAGAGGGTCAAGATGTCCGTGCGAGGGTTGGCAGGACCCTCCCCAAGGTGTCTTACCACCATTTTGAAGGCGTTGGCGATGAGATGGCTCCAGGTGTGTCATGGCGGCCGGGGGAAAGCCCCGCTCCTCAGGCTGGGAGTCTGGGCAGCATTGGTGGCATGTCTCCTCCCCAGGGCGGGCAGCCATCATCCACCACTGGGCTACGCTGTCCATGAGATAGTCCGGCCTAGGAAACTGGCCCCCAGGGCGGGAAAAGCTGCGGGGGAAGAAGTGTCCTACATCCTCAGGGTAGAGGGGGAGAACCGCGTCATCCACCTCACGCAGAAGAGAGGACTTCTGGTGAAAAACCTGCCGGTCATCACATACAGCCCCAGGGGGGCAAGAGTGGTGGAGCAGCCCCATATCCCCAAGGAGTGCTTCTACCTGGGCTACGTGGAAGGCAGCCCCGGCTCCCTCGCCACGCTGAGCACCTGCTCGGGTTTGCGGGGGCAGCTGGAAATCGGGAACCTGAGCTACGGCATTGAACCTGTGCCGGGGTCCCTCACCTTCCAGCACCTTCTCTATCGGCGAGAGAAGACCCAGAACAAGCCCTTGATGTGCGGATTGACGGATGAGGTGATCCAAAACCAGCCGGGTGGGATGGCAGCTAAAACAGCCTTAGGAAAGCATGACCTGTCTCAGAGACTGAAGCACACCGTGTACGTTGAGATATTTGTCGTGGTGGACCACTATCTGTTTTCCTTCCAAGGGAGCAATGAGACCTCTGTGATGCTTCTGGTTACAGATACGATCAATTTATCTGAAACATACTACTATCCTCTGAACATTCGCATCTGCCTGATTGGGCTGGAGATCTGGACGCACAGCAACTTCATCAAGTACAGCCAGGATATAAAAGAAGTTCTTAAAAATTTTAATGACTGGGGAAATAGGGATCTTTCTCAGAGGACGAAATACGACATTGCACATTTATTTACTTACATGGACTTTGGACTAATTGTTGGGCTGGCGTATGTAGGTAGCATCTGCCACCCCGGTTATCAATCAGGTGTTGCCTCACATATACGGAGAGATTTCATAACCTTTTCAATTATTTTTACTCATGAGCTGGGTCACAACCTGGGGATGGAGCACGACGAAAAGGAGTGTGTGTGCGGAGAAGCCACCAAGTGCTACATGACGGGAGACTCGCTCGACGGTGCCAAGGCTTTCAGCAACTGCAGCCGGCAGAGCTATTTAGACCTGATCGGCAGAGGGGATGGCGACTGCTTGCACAACATCCCAGAGCCCCACAGACTCTTCTATTTTAAGCATTGTGGCAACAAGGTGATCGATGAGGGAGAGCAATGTGACTGTGGGGGGCTGCAGGACTGCCGAGGCAATCCCTGCTGTCACCAGAACTGCAGGCTGAAGCCAGGGGCCGTCTGCTCCATCGGGCAATGCTGTCAGAAATGCCACCTTCGTGCTGCAGGACACAAGTGCAGGTCAGAGGCGGACGAGTGCGACTTGCCTGAATATTGCAATGGGACTTCCGAGTGGTGCCCGGAGGATTTGCATGTGCACGACGGGACGCCATGCAGTGATGACGGCTACTGCTACCGCGGGAAATGCGCAACCTATGACAACCTGTGCCGAAAAGTCTTTGGGAAGGAAGCTCGGGGTGCTCCAGAAAGCTGCTTCAAAAAGCAGAACATAAAAGGGGATCGATTTGGCAACTGTGGCGGCGATGGGAGCAAAGTTGCTTTTGTGGGATGTAAACCCCAAAACGCTCTGTGTGGAAGGCTGCAGTGTGCCAATGTGAAGAGGATACCCATTCTGGAGGGGTCTGAAACCATCATTCAGATGCCAGGGCCTGAGGATTGGTGCTGGGGCACAGCCTACCATGCCAGTATCGATACTCCTGATATCGGAGGAGGGCTTGATGGCACCAGATGTGGGCCAAAAAAGATCTGTATTAACAAGACATGCACAGATGCCATGGTCAGGACGAAGTGCAATGGGAATGTTTTGTGCAGGGGGAAAGGGGTTTGCAACAACCTCGAACACTGCCACTGTGAAGCTGGCTGGGCTCCTCCGGACTGCCAGTTCCACGGCCTGGGAGGGAGTATGGACAGCGGCCCTCCACCACCTCTCATGATGTCCATGGTGGAGGTTGTCCAAAATAAAGTGTTTGGGGCAGTAATTGGGATCACAGTTCCCATTGCCCTTGTTCTGATTGCTCTCCTCATCGCTGTAACCAAATACAGAAAGGCAATAGCTGCGTTTTTCAGTACAAGTTTAGCCACAGAGAGAAGTGAGACTCCTGCAGATGAGGAGCCGAGTATGGAAGAAGAAGAAGATGTTTAAAAAAAATTAAAGCAGTGGGAAACCCACCAGCTGAGGTTTGGAAAGCACTACAAGCCCCGTGGGTATGCCCCTGAAGCTGGACAGCTAGTTCCAGGAGATTTTCCACAAGGTGATTTACACGACGTAACTGTGTAAACTGTATGGAAGTTAATTACACAAAACTTGAGTATTTCCTCTTCTTGTATTACGTACTATGTAAAGAAATTTGGGTTGGACCCAAAAAGTGAAGCTGTTAGAAAATAGAGTGTAAAAGTTAGAGAGTTGTTTTCAATGCAGCTAAAGATCTGTTTTATTTTCTATAGAACGGTAGGACCTTAGTAAATAATTCACTTGAGCATCTAGAAGAGTATAGACAGATTCATGCAAAGTCCTGCTCACCTGGTTCAGGAGAGATGCTCCACCGGGTCAAAGCAGCTTATTTTTCTGAGTATTGTAGCTGAGCAGGAGTTGGCATGAAGAACAGAAGGGAAATGTGCAAAAAGTCGAGGCACGGAAGTGAGCACTGTTTTTTTTATGCCGCTTTGCAATTTTTCATTCCTTGCAGTTGGCTATTAGTATGGTACATGTTCTTATTTTTATAGTGAATTAAAAGTCAGAGATTGAAAAATATTCACCTTTGCTTTACTGTTAATTTGTAATGGCAAATACTTAGAGAAGTAAAACATCCTTTGACCACCTACCCTCAAAGGAGCTGTACCAGATCTCTGAGCTGTTACATATCATTTGCTGCATTTCTAGAGATATTTCCATAAGGAGAAAGTCTGTACTAAAGATTTACCATGTTTAAAGAATCCATTTACAATCCATACAAACCTGTTAAATAAATAACTATCATCACTAAAAGTGTCTCCGACAGCTCTGCTCAGGCAGAGCTAGCTTTCCTGCTGGCGAGACAGTTCGCAGCAGACCCTGATACCGGTAGGACCTTAGTAAATAATTCACTTGAGCATCTAGAAGAGTATAGACAGATTCATGCAAAGTCCTGCTCACCTGGTTCAGGAGAGATGCTCCACCGGGTCAAAGCAGCTTATTTTTCTGAGTATTGTAGCTGAGCAGGAGTTGGCATGAAGAACAGAAGGGAAATGTGCAAAAAGTCGAGGCACGGAAGTGAGCACTGTTTTTTTTATGCCGCTTTGCAATTTTTCATTCCTTGCAGTTGGCTATTAGTATGGTACATGTTCTTATTTTTATAGTGAATTAAAAGTCAGAGATTGAAAAATATTCACCTTTGCTTTACTGTTAATTTGTAATGGCAAATACTTAGAGAAGTAAAACATCCTTTGACCACCTACCCTCAAAGGAGCTGTACCAGATCTCTGAGCTGTTACATATCATTTGCTGCATTTCTAGAGATATTTCCATAAGGAGAAAGTCTGTACTAAAGATTTACCATGTTTAAAGAATCCATTTACAATCCATACAAACCTGTTAAATAAATAACTATCATCACTAAAAGTGTCTCCGACAGCTCTGCTCAGGCAGAGCTAGCTTTCCTGCTGGCGAGACAGTTCGCAGCAGACAGCCTGATACCGGGTCTGGCTGACATTGCTAAAACACGACAAGGTCTCGTTAGGACGCTGCCTGTTCTCCTTTGACGCAGGGATTCATCAGAGCAGGGTGGACGTGGACCCCTCTGTGTCCGGCGGGCTGGCGGGGAGCGTGCTGGCATAGAACTTCTTCTGGGAGCGCAAGAGAGGAGTCTGAGTGTCAACGTCCCTGCAGGCGTTGCGTTTGAGGGAGAGGAAGATGTGCTGTGTCCAGCCGTACACGATGCAATTCAGAAGCCCCTGGGAAGCTGCTGTCAGAGCCTGGGAGAGACCACAGGGGAGATCAGGGCTCTCTTGTCAGCCAGCACTGCACAGCACTCCACGGCTCCCTACCAGGCTGTCAAACCTGGCACGTGATGCCAAGCCTCCCACTTCCAGCATGATTTTATCTATCCGCATCCCCACGTGACATAGGAATCTCACGGTTATTTTAATAATCTTTGCTAAATGCTGCCTTGGGCACATCAAGCAGCTGGGCAAGTGTCGTGGAGGAATTGCATTTGGAGACTTTCACAGAAAGGGAATAAACTAACTGATTTCTGGGGATCCCTTCTAGTCCTATTTTCTACAATTTCCATGGTGCTGTGCTTTTGGTTACTGAGACCTTTTCGAGCCTGTGAAAAACATAAAACAACTAACAAAGATCTTTGCCAACGAAAAGCATAAATCAATCAGACTTATGATCTTTGTGGCTACAAACATGCTTTGTCTAGCAGAGATTAGAAACAGGCAAACACTCATTTCTCTGTTGAAGCAGAGAAGGCAAAACACAGGAGGTTGCAGAGGAAGACTTTTACCTGTAGAATTAGAAGAGCCATGTAGATTTTGCTGTTTGTTGACACTGTCAGCTTCAGTATTCCAAGGAGTACAGCTGTGAAAAGGGATGGACAAGAGGGCATTGCTTTAACCCCACCTCCCTGGAATTTCATTGCCAGGCACTATGTCTTAGGAGAATGTTGTGAAAATAACTCAGCTCTCTACTAACCTGGGGCCCAGCAGCAGAAAAATGCGATGGGGTAAAAAACCACTCGTTGTTCCACCGTTTTAATCATGGCCCACTGCTGATCCCCCAGGAATCCTGTGGAGTTTACGAACCTTTTGTACAAACCTCGGGCTTGACTGAGTATAACCTAAAAAAGAACAAGCATACATCGTTGTTGGTATTTTGTGCACATGCTCCGATCTGGCTTGTTCATCTAGGACAGAGTATTCCATGGTTTTTTTAGCCAAAACCTCATTTCAATCTATCAAACCTTTTCAAGCAACAGTGTGCTCCCGGGGGCAGAGCAGTTGCTTTGTACATGATCTTTTCTGAACTGAAGACTCTGAATTGATTTGGGCTCTCGTCGACCCATGCAGTAGGTGATCTCTGCTGCCATGCTCTGAGCCTTCTCTACCTGCTAAATCCTTTTTGGGATGGGTTGACAGAACACAGGACTCCAGATGGATTTATATGGTGGCACAATGATATTTTCTCTCCCCGACCACCCCTTCGAAAAGGGAAGCAGCACCACACAGTTCTTCCCCTGATATTGCCTGCCCGCTGGTACCACCCAAGCGAAAGATGAAAAAGGGCAAATCTTCTCACACTGATCATCTGGGTGCAACGGCTAGTGTGCAAGGACTCTATTTCTTACCAGAATTGCTACGAAGCTGATCAGAAAGGAAATGAGGAAGACCCCGATGCCATAGAAATGCATCGCATGGCAAACAGAGCCACTCAGGGTTTGCGGCTCGTTGGTGGGCATGGCTATTTCCGTGTGCATCAAGAGACATCTGTGGGGAGAAAAGGAACAGCCTGAGCTCCTGCCGTGACTCATAAGCAGTGGGGCTGCTTCAGAGAGACGCGTGAAGCTTACCCATGCTTCTGGCTGAAGTTCTGGTAGCAATTACTGCTGTTGCCCAGGCAAAACACAGGCACCATGAGAAGGAAAGGGATCAGGCTAAGAGGAGAAAGGACAACGGCACAGTTACTAGTTATTGCACTGCACTGCTCCCATCCCCAACCAAACACTACTTGTTTTTTCTCCTGTCACTATAGAGGACTTAAAAATTGTTTTTATTGACACTGCTCTGGAAGAGTATTTTATCCCCTTTACTGACTTCTGCACTTTCATTCATGCAGGCAATACATTGGTAAAGGGAGCACTTTCTGAAAAACTACATATAGCTAATATAGTTTTTTATATATATATATATATATATATATATAACTAACCCGGTTGGAGAAAGGCCCTTACATCCAAAACCTCTTACTCTGAGTTTGTTGGGTCACTCTGCTGTTACTGATGAGCTTTACAGGTTTTAGTAAAACTTGCTTCAAAATAAGTAGGAAGCAGAGATCAGCACACTACAGTTTACCAAAACCACATCATTTTGCCAGAGAGAATTAAATCTTACCTAGACGAGATAGTTGCTATTCGGCCGATGCAACTTGCATATTCTACAACCTGCAAAATCCAAAGAGCTTAATTAAATTATCATTATCATTTAGCCACTGGTTCGCAGGAACCAGCTCCCAGGGAGCACTTCAGCAGCTGAGGGTTCTTCAAATGCTGATTAATCCCCAGACCGAGCACAAACGTTTGTTTCCACTTTCCACTGAATCAACACCGCCGAGTTCAGTCTGTGCTGATTTGCAACAGGAACAACCGATGCTTCCACCCGCTTACCGCCTTGTTCTCCTTCAAGACTAGAGGATTTGAGAAGGGAACTTGGAACTGGACAAGGAGCAGACACTTGATGAGCTCTCTGGTGTAACTTACTCATTTTTTGTACTGCTTATTCACTTAACCTGGCCCTGTTCCTCAAAACCTTTATGTTCTGGTGAAGAAATGCAGGCAATTTGGAGCGTCCTGGTATCTGCTCACCAGGAAATGTACTTTGGCAGCTGGCATCCACACACCAGCTACGACAATACAACGCGGGCACAGCTGTAGTGGTGGGGAATTATGGTAGGTGTTGTGGTTTGAATGGGAGTCCAGCAAGAAGGAAACCAGTCCCACAAGTGGATCCAAACCCTATGGACAAGAGCCCTTGAAATATAGACTGATCTGCCCAGCCTGCTGCTCCCGAACCGACAGATGGAATATCTGGGATACAAAGTTTGCTGTGCACAGCAAATGTCTGGGGAAGAAAAAGGCTTTATACGGAAATGGGGCTCATGGGTTCAATGGGAAGAGCTGCATAAGGAAGCTGTCATCTGGCAGCAATACATCAGGAGCAACACACCGGTTACAGCAATGGTGGTGCCTCACTGTTTAGCCAGGCGTGAGGAATGAAACAACTGCAAGGAGAGATTTTGGTCATGCGATATGTGAAGTGTTTGTTTAGCCTGCAACGCAGAGAGTATTTTTCTGAGTACTATGTCCTTGTTCCTTGGTTCCCAGCGATTACACTGGTTCCCCAAAGGGCTTTTGTAAAGGCCAGCGATGATGAAATGAGGACTGGCCACTGTTCACAGAGCCAACTGGTCCTTTTATCACTAGCTCATTTCCGTCACACCTCCTATCTCAAATCTTACAATACTTACTGACACTCTCGAACGCTGTATGACACCTGGGAAGGACAGAAATTGTCAGTCCTCAGTTCCAGGCTGTCCAGGCACCCCCTGCTTTCCTGTCCCCTCTGCCATGCACTGGCAGAAGGCAGTGACAGCAACAAACCAGCTACTCAGCTGGTGCAAATTGCTGTTCTTCTAACTGCAGAAGAACTTCACCAATACCCAGTCCTGAGCTTTTTCTGCTCTGAGGTGTATGCTGCCATTGGCCTTTGCCTGCTTTGGTTTTGCAAGCCTAATCTTTCACTGAGATCCTACAGCAGACCTAGCTGTAACGCTGCTGACAGCAGTGGGCAAGATATGTCAATTCATACAGCTGCGGGGCAGAAGGGCCTTCAAAGTCCTTGTGGTGAGATATACTGTTATGTATGCACCTCCTAAACCCCACCACAACCCCACAGGTAGACCTTGGTACCCAACAGTTGTTGCATGTCAGTCCTACTCACCTGGGGGGGCATCCTGTGAAGGTTCTGATGGTATTTCATCTTCAGGTCCATGTACAGATGCCAGGTGTAGTTGACAGTGTATAGAAAAGAGGCCACGTAGAATATCTGAGATATACAGACAGTATTTCAGTCCTATAATAATAGTTCCTGTAGCACTTTTAGTTCATCGCTGAGGAACCCAAAGCCCATGGGCCAGAGGCAGGATGCTAAACAGCAGAGTGGACTGCCAAATATGAGGGTCCCTGCACAGCCCCTGTGCTCATGTCTACTGGGTTGCAGTGGGACACCAACTGGGAAGAGCCAGGTAGAGGAGGGGTTCCCACCTTAGACTGCACAAAGGCAGCTTCACTTTGGCCCCAAACCAGGGACAGAAGAACTAATGACGGCAGACTGTCTTAAAAATACGAATCTTCGTGACTTGGCTCATTTTTTGGCCCAAATCCTGGCAACAAAGGGTTCAAAAGCACTTTGACCCTCTCTATGCTACATCCATTAGGAAACACAACACAGATTGCTTCTCACGTAATGAGCTCACTACACAGTGAATTCACGGAAACAGAAAACAATAGTATATTTAGAGAGGAACGTGGGGGCAGAGAATATCTGCACTAAGCCTGAGTTAACATCCCAAGAGCCCTTTTCTCTCCATGGGAAAAAGGAGGAAAGAAAAGATACAGAACACTGTTTCCCACAGAGAGTTTCACAGCCCTTGATTCCAGCTTGAGATGAGACCAAACATCTAAAATTTCCCATAAAAACCCCCAAATCTTTCTTGAATTTGTTTCTGAATCCATGGATGCAGTCAAGTATAAATAGTGTTGCCTAATCATACTATATATATGCGTGTGCTGTGTTTGTTACAGGAAACACATGCTTCAGTGGCAAAGGCAAAGAGGAAGGGCTGGACAAATGAATTTTTCTGTGGATTTGCTATCCTTTGCCAAAGAGGCAAGGAGCACAGGTTTGCCGCCCTGGTATCATCTAAGCCCAGGAAAGTAGTCACTAAATAAACTTGGTCTCCTTCACTGAGATTGCAAACACTCTTGGCTGATTCAAAAGGCTGAGTCCAAGGGGCTACATTGCAGTAGGAACATTACAGTGACTTTCCAGCTCATTAGATGAGGTTTAATGAGGGTTTGTTGCCCTTCTTCAATTACTTCCAGGAAAGGTCATTAAAACAGTCCACAAAGATCGTTCTCTTGCACTTCAAAATGCTTTAGAGAGGCTCACAAAATGTCAGCACTGCCTTCTTTTTTGGAAGAGGGAACCAAAAGCCACTTGTGAAGTTGCCAGCAGAAAGTGAGGGAAGTTCTGCTCTCCTGAGCCCCAGCTTCGGGGCTGTGGACAGCCCTGCAGCGCTCACCATGAGGAGATAAAGCAGGGGCTGGGAGACATGAGAGTCCCTCATTATAACACTTCTGTGGGTCCCCATTGTGCTCACCAGTGTGAGCGGAGCCTGCCAGGACATTATTAGGCCACTGGAACTGAACTGGAAGAATGTGGGGGAATTGTGCAATTATAACCACAATCTCTATTCTGGACTTTACTATTGTAACGCGAAGGCAAGGCAGGGAGGAGGAGAGAACGGAGTCAAGGGACAGCAGAAGGGAGCAGTGTTTACATATAATATCAACCAAGAGTCTGGGGCTGAAACAGGGAAAGTCCAAGAAACAAAGCAATCTCCTCCTTTACGACACGGTATGGATGTTAGGGGAGTTCCATCCGCTGCAACGTCAGCCCTTGGTGATAAAGTGATGGTAAACGGGCCGAATAAGGCAAAATATTGTCCTGCTCCTAAGGCAATCCCTTGAGACAATCACTTCACATGGACTGTGGTGTGAGTCTCTCCAAGGGCTGCCATCTGCAAACACCACTGCCTAGCAGTCCTGAGCCTGTCCTCACCCTTGTCGTTCAGTGCATTTTACATCTTCTAGGTGTTTGTGTGCAAAGAAGCCACGTGTGTTTATGAGACGCCCAGGAATGCAACCCTTGCGAGATTTCTCCACTCAGCACAGGCATAATGGGCCCAGGAGACATTTACTCATTTCATTCGGTTACAGATCACTTATGCTCTGCAGAAACTGCTGGTTAAACCTGTTACTGGCTCCTACTTATGCACAAGGTGTTCCCACCATGCAAGGCCATTGCTGGGTGTTTAGTAAGGAGGTGTCCTGCACTGTGTCACGTGCACCGTGCAGGCACGGTTGCTATGGCAAGTGCTCCGTTTGTTTTAATTTCTCCCAGAGCAAACAGCAGCGACAGCTCTTGCCAGACGCAAGCTGGCTCTGCCACCCCGGCAGTCCTCCTGCCGGAGGTGGTCTGCTGCTGGCATGCAGGAGAGGAGCCCAGGAACCCTATGGCCGAGGTCGGGATGTGGCAGGCACCCTGCACACCCCACCACAGCACCCTGACTATCCACTGTGGGGCTGAGGCAAAGGCAAGTCCTGCAAGGACTCGCCCAAGGCCAGCTCTGCCCACCCACGCTGCCTTTCCCAGTGTGGAAGTAAAGCTCCCGACTGGCCCCCATCCTTTGCTGGTGTCCCTGAGAAGCATGGCCACAGGCTGGAAAAGCAAGGGCAGAAAAGAGCCAGAAATGCATGGGAGCATAGCATGCTCCCAGTGTCTCCGCTGAGAAATGGTGGCTTATTGTCTATATCCAACCTACTTCTCCTCTAGCAGTGCAGCCTATCTTCCCCAGGCCATGAAAAGATCACACCAGCATTTAGAACTGTCCCCCAGGCAAAGCTGCAAGGGAAACAGCTCAGAAACACCCTCAGTCCCGCATGCTCCTTCCACCTTTTGGCTCTGAAAAGCCTCTCCCAAGCTCTTCTCATTTTCCCCTGTACCATCATCTAAAAACCATCTTTGATATTGTTCTGTATCATTCCCAAGTGGCCAAGTTACCCACACCCCACTGTTTCTTCTCCCGACGTGAACATATCGCGGTGCTTCCACAGCGGCACAGGAGAGCTAGAGAAACCAGAGATAAGCCGGGAGTGGAACAGCTGCTCCCGCCATCATGAGTATTATGGTTTTACCCACAAGAACGGCTGTTGAAACAACCCTGGGTGGCAGGCACCCATCCCCAGACACACAACAGCGTGAACGCTTCCATACCGCACACACAGCTACTTCCCTGCCCTCTCCAAGGTACGTGGAGAGCCTCTCCAGCTTCAGATGCTGCTGCTCAGTGAAGACGTTTCAGTTCCCATCTGTGGGTACCATCACGCTCCCAGGGAGCTGTCCGACCCCACACGACACACACCAAGGCTCCCGACAGCCACTTGCTCTTCCCAGTCATGTTTTTGTGGGTCCTTTAAAAGGAAACTGTTAAGCCCAGAGATCACCGCTTGTGAACCACCGCTCTGGCCCAAGCTTGGCTGTATCCTGCAGAGTTTTTTGAGAGCAGTGATTTGCAAAGCCTAATGGTGAAATGGGAACTCGGTGAGACAAAAGCAAACTGTCAGGAAAACGGTATTTCACTCACTCCACTCCAATTAGTCTCCAGCACACGGAATCAGCTGGAAAGCAGCCGAATCGCTGGGGCACGAGGCTAGCCTGCGCTGACGGAACAGCCCCTGAGCATCCTTGGGATCGTTTGAGAGAGGATAGGGCCAGGTCAGCAAAAGCAGGGCTGCTTATATGAGTAACGTTGTAAGTCCGAGCTCAAGCGAATCGCAGGATGTGTCTGTTCCTGCCCGGGATGGAGGAAGCACGAAGAGGAATAGAAAAGCTGCCGTGTGAGAGGCACAGAGATCATCGTTGGCACGGGTCCAACAGGAAATAGATTAAGACCCGTCTACTCACTTTACACAAGCAACCCAAACGCAGCAACCACAAAATCCCATGCTCTCTTTGCCTTCCTCGTTGCCTCTCACAAACCAGATGTACCTAAAACCAAGCATCGTTATCTCCATTTTACACACGGGGTGAAGAGATCTGATAAGTCAGGGCCACACGGGGAGTCTCTGCCAAAGCCTGTCTAGAAACAGTCCCCCACAGCCATGCTCTGGTCACCAGCGAGGCTAATTAAGGCAATGGGTGCAAAGTAACAGCATGAATGGTGATGCCAAGGCTACTCACTTGTCCTGTCGCTTGCAGGTTATAGCAGATGAGATCCTGCTTGGAGGTTGGTGTGCTATAGAGAAGCGCCCCAGCGAGCCAGCACATGCCCAGAAATAGGTCAGAGAGGCTCAGGTAGAAAAGTGGACGAACCTGAGAAAAGTGACATTAGTCAGCAGGTCTGGGCGATGGTCACAACACTCCCGTGACCACCTACAGCAGCAGCTTTACCCCCTCGTCTAGATATGCTTTCGTCCCCAAGCTCTTCTGGTAGGGTAGCTCTCCTTGCACACAAAAGCCATGCTGATTCTTGCTCTCAGGAGCTGTTTCAATGCAGATACCCTGCTCTAATCATCCTTTCTGGCACTAGCAATGTCCCAGGATCCAAAAGCAGCACCAAATCTTACAGAAAATATTTCCAAGCTCCAGAATGTTACAGTTTTGCAGAATGGGACACGTTGGCAGGGAGAAGCGATACTATTTGTTAAATCAACTGATAGAGAAATCAAACTTTTGGTAAACACAAACCCTTCTTCAGGTCTGAAATAACTTGAAACAGACATTTTTCCTTTGTGTTTCATGTCATTTCAGTTGGTGACTAAGGCTGAATCTATTTTACATGCCAGATTAATTTTCGCTATGAGAGCCTCTAGTCTCTCTGCTGCACATTGCATCTTGCTGGAACAGAGTCGCGTCTCCTCTAATGGCAGTTTCCAGCCCATTTCCAGTTTGCATGCACTGGCCAAAAGGACTGTAAACACTGTAGGAAAACATTTGTGCAAAATTCTGGCCAACATTTTCGTTGTTAGTGGGAGAGCAGACACTCTGGAAAAGCAGCCTAATTATCTAGATTCTTAATTGTAGTCTTTGGTACCTAATTTGCAGCATCCTGGAGAGAAAATGATGGCATTTTTTTTCCCTACGGGAAATTATAATGCTAAACGCAGCATGGAAACATTTCAGGAGGCCTTGATTTCAAGACTTCTTTCATGGAACTGAGCTTTTGGTGAGATTTGCCTCAATATTGTCCTTTAAGTAAATGTTTGCCACCCATTGCACTGTGTGATACTTTTCTTGTTCCCGTGAGCAACGAGAAAGAGCTTAGTAAGACTGGTAAGTGGTAAGGTAGATCTGATTGAATCAGATCTGTCCTTATGCCGTAGTTTGAGGGAGATCTGCCTGGTGTCTTCCTGGGCCGCCCACTGCCATGCAGCAGCACGGCAGGTCCTCTGCCTTCTGCAGGATTTCTCTCCTCCAACATCCTTGTCCCTTCCATATTTGTACCATCCAACCCAGCAACATGGTAAATCAAACTGCTGTTGCTAGTTAAGTATCTGGAGCTAGTTTGTACGTCATTGCATTTACGAATGCCTTTTTTAACCAGGTTTTTCCTTGCTGGTGCAGAATTGAAGCCCCGGCAGGCGGTCATAGGCATGACAGGCTGGAGACATCGTCCAGTTTGCGAGCACGGCAGGTGAAAACCAAGCAGCTCTGAAATAAGCAAAGAAGCAACTTTTGCAATTGAACACGTGACCCCTTTCTCTAGCAACAAGTGTCCTTGGAGCGAGGCACCGCTGTTTGGTTGAGGAGCTATTTTGGCACAGACCTAAATAAAGAAGTAGGTGACATAGTGGTAAGTGAAAGGCAGCATGGCTCTTCCTTGCAAAAGGGAAAAGAAAAAAAACAAAACAAATGGTATTTATAAAATAGAGGAAGAGAATGTAAAGACGTAATGATTCAGATGAGCTGCCAGGCTGGAGCATACATGTCGATTTAGCTCGCTCTGGCCATTGCCCAGGGACATCTGCCTGCACAGAACCTGTTGACATAACAGAGGAAATTCTTTGTTCGTTGCTTGCCATCATCTCTTCTGAATGATTTAGCTCAGGCTGAAGACTTTTATTCACCCGTAGAGACAGAAAACAAGCTTCAAGAATGCAATATTTGATTTCCTAGGCTGGGGGCAGGAGGGGAAGTGTTTATAACATTGTTCTCCTCCCAGCCTCCAAAGCTGTTTAAAAATAAACATTTTACTCTGGAGCCTCATGACTCGGGGAATAAGCTGCCTGTGGCAAGCTTTGATGTGTATCTCTTCCAGCCCCTTTGTTTACAAATTTCCACTTAAGACCAGAAACATGGGGACAAGGCGATGGGGAAGTTACTGAAGATTTTGCTGCTTTTGAAACACCAGCAATGGGTGTCCCCTGGCAGGAGAACACGAGCCTGGAAGCCGGATGCAGACAAGTCACTCCAGCTGGTATCCATCCCTCCTGTCCGGATTTGCAGAAATAATCTGAGAAGAAACATCTGGAATTGCTTGAGCAGGAAGGGTCCATCTGTGACCCAGAGCCATGTGTGGTTCACAAGCAGCTAGAGTGCAGCTCCCAAGCCACAGCCACATCATATGACTAATAGCACAAGGGCTCCTGAGCAATGCGGGCTTCTTGCCATGGAAGTAAACGGGCCGAGGCTGCTGAGTCACACCAGGACATCTGCCAAACCCAGCTCCGTATCATACCAGAGTGGAGGACCCCAGGAGAGAACCACGTCTGGAGCTCTCCAGGTGCGGGAGATGTGACAGAGGCAGCCTTTGATGTACACCTTGTGCAGCACAAGCTCAGGCTGGTTTTTCATCCCAGCACTAAGGTGAAGTCCCAGCCTTCATTCCTCCCTGGGAATGCATGGAGATCTCCGCAGCTCATTCTCAATGTGCTGGTCAGAGCGTTTCCAGGAGGCTGGCTGCCTGGGAGCAAGACTGCCCTGCATGTTCTAAGGGGTGCAAATTTGCCCTGCAAACCTGGACTCATGTTCTCCTCCCCACCCTGCTTCATCCAACGATGTGTCAGCTGTTAGCTTGACTGCATGCCTTCCTTCTCTGGGGATAACTCACTGCATTCCCTGGAAGTCCTGTTCTCTGGGCTGCAGATCAGACCCATGACGTACAAAGAACATTGAAGACAAGGGAAGTACAAATACAGCTTTGTTACAACACAGCTCTACTGTCCTACTGCTCTTAGCCGTAACCTGTTATCTGCGTGGTCCACAGACCGGGCTGCCAGACATCTGCAAATCCTGGACAACGAACCCCAGCTTCACACATCAGCTCTGTGCACTGCCTCCAGTAAGTCCTGGACAGACAGAGGGACTGCGTGTGGACAGCAAAAGCCTGGTGGGCTTGGGATGGAGGTCTACGGTTACTGCGCATGTGCCAGCCACCTGTTCAGCATGTCTGATATAATCCCAGGCACATGGGGTTCCCTGCACACACGACCTGCATGTGTGATGCACTCAGGACGTGCCAGGCACTCTATCCATGTCAGATCTGCAGTGCACGCACTGACAGTCCCACCCCGAGGGAAGTTTGCACCCGAGTCCCACTGCTTCAGCATTAGAAATGTTCCTGGCTCCTGTGCGTGGCCAGGGTGAATCTTCCAAAGCCCCATTGCAGAGCCCAGCACAATAAACTGCTTTTCAGCCTCGTCTCTTTCTGTCTGAACTTTGCAGCGTCTTTGAGTTGTATCAGTTTTAGTAGTGCACCTGCCTGGAAAAACTACTCAGAAATACCCGAAGACAGACACCTGTAAATACATTTCCTACAGGGGCATCTCCAATTTGCACTTCAGCAGCTTTGCACCCAGCTCCTCAGCCCTCCAGGCGTTTTGCCCCACAGAGGACGACATGCTAACAAAATCGCTGTTCCCGGGACTGGAGGACTTTCTCGGAGCGGCAGAAAGCGCGGAGCTAAGGAACCTGCTTCTCCCTGTGTGGGTGCAGTTCAAGGTTAGTCCCTCCAACTCATATCACAGACAAAAAGCCAAACTCTTGGCAAGCCCTTTGCCTCTCAGCTGTTAAACAAGGTTTAACCACATAAGCCTGAGACCTGCAGTTGCTCCTAGCAGAAGTGCCTGACCCACGCGGGTCTTTGCTACATGCGCGACCCATCTGCAAGGTACCAACACCTTGACTTAGGGAAGGAAAAGGAGGCGCAGACCTTACCTCGGGGGACCGCACTGCATTTTGAAAGACGGCGTAGGCAATAATTGAGCTGGAACCTATAACACTGAGAAAATAAAGCACAGGTTGGAACAGGAGTACATCTGCCTCGCCGGGATAAGGGATTGCTCTTTCTCCGGAGAAAATGGTCATTGCAATAGTAACTCCATCCCGGCATCCCGGGGACGCGGGTTTAGCAGCGCGTTGTACCTGAGCACGGCCATGGTGAACTGTATCCACTGGAGAGCCGAGTATACCTGGGGAGAAGGACGGGTGCGAGCTCAGCACGACACGGCCCCACGCGCGGCGGGGAGCGCCCCACAGAC